GCCAATCGTCATGGAGATGACCAAGAGGGGCCAATCGTCATGGAGCTGACCAAGAGGGGCCAATCGTCATGGAGCTGACCAAGCTAAACTTTCCAGATCGCCCACATGAGATATGTATCCTCCATTCTGGGTCTACCTACATGTGCTGGTTTTGTTTTGGTATCAAGCATACTAGGTTTGACATTAAGCACCCCCCAGCTGACCTCTGTGCTGACCTCTTCTACCTCGGGGTGTCCAAGGACTGGGTTGTCTGGGGTAGCAGCAGCCGTTGGTGTTGTGTATTACTGTACAATAAAAAGTACTTCGAGGCGATGAAACTGAATTAAAAGTGAAATGCTGAGGAGGAAGTCAGTCTCAGGACCAGAGCCAGACTCCAAGCCAAAACAAACAACCTCCAGCTGGAAAACTCGTCCACATTTCCAGTTGGCTGTGATGTCATGAGCAGCAGGTAGAGATCAGTTTGTAAAAATGTTTAAAGTTCACCACAAGAAGTGTCAGTGGCCTGACTACTTCCTGAAATGTAACTACACACTGCAGTCTTCGAGAGGACTCACTTCACTTTACGTGTGAAAAGCTTGTGTGTGTTTCAGTTACAGGTTCAGCAAAGAGCAGGAATCCTGACACCGTGGGGTTTACACCCAAATAACTTGTCAGACGTGTCGGCCGAACGCACACGCTGTGACTGAGGGGCACATACATCATGCTGTTACGCAATCAGCCGCCAGCAGCCGGTTTATCTCTGCATGTGGGCGCGCACGATTGGTTACGCTAACAGCAACAGCAGAAACAGACCCCAAGGGAAAAACCGGAGAGGGTTAAACCTGCGTGTCTTCCGCATTCCTCACCTGGACACCTCGCAATTAGTGCTGAAGATGCAGAGACACAAAACAGAGCTATTAACCGCACAGCTGCAAAGATGCATGAGTGCATTTAAACATGGTAAATCTCACCTTACACACACACAGACACACACAGACACAGGAGCTACAGCAAACAGCATTCCACAGCCGTTTGCCTGCAGGGATCGACTTTTTCAGTGTCAGACAATGAATCCTTGTTCCTCTCTCACTCTGTGACACACTTTTTCACTTACACACACTTAAATACTCGGCTTCTCCTTTTTCTCACCCAGGCACGCCCCCCCCCCACACACACACTAGCACACAACAGCGCCGGCAGAGCAGCAGAAAAGGAGAAGGTAACTGGAGAAAAATAAAAGGTCATGTGGTTGTAAATCAAACACAGGACAGGCTGAGTTTGAGCGGGACTCTGGGAGCGGCGAGAAAACTCGGAGCTCTGTTTGACCTCGGTGACAGGTTTGTGATAAATTAAATTAGCCCGCTTCCTCGTTGTCCAAGGCTCGGCGGTGCGCTGCGTTTGCATTACACAATTAACTGAACAGCTGCCAAACGCACTGACACACTGAAAGCTTTGACGAGAGTGACGTCAGCTCTTTTCTCGCGTCTTACGGCACGGCATAATTACCTCGCAGCGCATCTCCGTTGGCCACATCGCACTCAATGAACGTGCAGTTTCCTTCTCCGAACTCGCTGTCCAGCTGGGCCTTGCACTCCTCACCGAGGTCCTTGTTCAGGTCCACCATGGCCACCTGCAGAACAGAACTTTGAGATGGACTCTGCAGCACTTTGGTTACAGTGCAACACTTACTTTGCTCAGCAGACTATATTAGTCCTGTGGTTTCACAACTGTGCAGCTCAGACAGAAACAAACCTTCATTTACTTAAACAGATGGCAAAGGAAGTTCCGAGAAATGACTGATCTCTCTGAAACGCCCGTGCTGCTGCAGAGAAGCGAGTCTTTCACAATGATTTCATTACAGATTAACCTGGATTAACCACAGACTCACCTTTGAAACCCTGCTCCTGTTAAAAAACAAGTCAAACAGTGAAGAAAAAAAGCTTTTGAGGTGAAAAGATGAAAAACACAACAGATCGAAGGAAACTAAAAGCTGCAAGCAAAAGTTGCAGCAGTACCGACCTTGGCTGAGCTCTGCAGCAGTGACTGGACCACAGCTCTGCCGATGCCCTGAGCACCCCCCGTCACCAGAGCCACCTTCCCATTCAGAGACATGCTCCCAGCACAGCTGCACTCTTCCTCCTTCTTCTTCTCTCGGTGACTGTTCTTCTCTTCCTCTCCTGCTCTGCGTCTTCCTGCACCTTTCTGCTCTCTCTCCAACTCAATCACATGTTTTCTCACCGCTCTGTTTTTATTCTTTTGGCTAAGCTGTTTTCCCCTCCTCCTCCTCCCCCCCCCCTCCCCCCTCGCCTTATCAGTCTATACAAACACTGCATGTGTGTGAGAGAGCGAGAGAGGGAGAGGTTAAGTAAACTCCGTAGAATAATAATTACAGGTTTAATCCAACTTGTTGTACCTGCCCTCCCGGCTCCTCCTCCACGCCCTTTCTTCTCCTCCCCTCCTCCTGTTTGATCAGCACACCTGAGCTCCTGAAATGTGTTGCTGTTTATATAAAGTCTGCATTTCAGGACATGTCAGAGACAAAACCTCAGACAGCAGCTTCTTTAAAGAGCTGTCAGTCTCTCATTGTTCTTCCTCACCGTTGGTTTTTCTCCTGCGAGGCTTAAGTGGCGTTACACAACAGCGGCAGCGCAGCTCGGGGATACGTTACGGCGAGCTTCAGGTCTCTGCACGTCCACTCTCACACTGAATGGGAACCAGCAGCTGATAATGACCAAATATGTGAAAATACCACCCGCTCCAGTGTGTTTTCCTTCTATTCTTTAAAAATAATAAAGACACATGAGGAAAGGAAAAGCTGTTGTATCTTCATGAACTTCACTATTTATATCCTGCACACTTTAGATCGAGGAACATCGCTACGCTTCCGTTCCTCTGACTTCCTGTACACGCTCTCTTCCTTTGACCTTCTTATTGTACATCCTTCCTTCATGCTTGGATCTGGAGATGATCTGCAGCGTGTTCAGCAGGCGCTCTTTAGATTTCTGGGATCTCCGAGGACCTGAAACAGCAGCAGAGGCAATATTTTGTGTGCCAGGTGAGGCCAGCCTGGACCGGACGGCAAGCATCACAGGAAGTGAGGTCGCTGTGCACAAACTGGATAATAAAGATGGACACATGTTCCTCCTGCTCTGCTCTCCTAAACCTGCATTCTTGTTGGTGGCCAGCAGGTGGCGACAGCAGAAACGGGAGATATTAATGCACCTTTAGGAAATCGTTTGTGTTGTAGTGATAAAGCTAAAGTGAAGCGAGTTAAGTCTGTGTATGCACTTACAAATACAACAGTACATGCACAGTAATACAAGGAATCAGCAACAACACGACATAAACAATAATAACAACGATGCGTGTATACATGTTAGTATGTAGCTCCTCCTTAATGGAGGTGAACAAAGCTTAAGCTTTGAATCAGGGCGACTGTGTCACAGACGAAGTCTGTGCAGGATTTTAAACTGTTGTTTTTTCCCAGATAGTTGAAGTCCTCCCAAATCCTTCGCCCCGGTCTGTCTGTACAACAAAGATCTGCTTTGTTAATGTCAGAGACGTCGACACTGTTGCAGAGACATTTCAAGATATCTTAAAGCTTTTGCTCAGCTTGATGAAAGTCCAGTAGCTCCTCGTTCTCCAGTCGGCTTCACATTTCAGACACACTGATGATTCAATATGAACCCAAACTGAGGAGGTCTTATGTTTCCATCCAGGTATGTCTAAAAGAGCAATGAGCTCATAATATCCACAAGATCCAGTCCTCACAAATTCCAAAAGGAAGAACTAAACCTTCAGTTATTATTCGAGTGGACAGGAATCATCCTCTTTGGGGACCATTCATCTCAATGGACTCCTGTCTAACGAGCATATATCCCTATAGAGCTTCTCTAATCGTATCCAATAGTGGACTAAAGTTAGCCTTCGTTATCAGATAACAGTGAGGTGGTATAAACACACTAAAGTAGGCGAAACACGAGAGAGAACATTTAAAGGGAGCATGTAAAAGACAAAGTGTGAGACAAAAATAATAAATCGAGTAATTCTGAGATTATTTTATGAAATTTCTGACTGATTATAATCGCAGACGCTCTGGGCTCTGATTGATCGTCTCTGGATCTTAAAGTCTTTTGAGGCTTTTTGAGCTACAGGTGCTGCAGAGCCCTCGTGAAGAACTTTAACCTTTTAAAACCGGAGCGCGGTTCATCTGAGTTCCTCTTTGCGACGTGCAGAAAGCACGTTTGTCTCTTATGGTTACTAGAAACAAGAAACAGCAGACCATCGTTGTTAAGAAGTGGCTCCCAAGTTTATTTTAGTCTGAGAGAGTTTCATGTAAAATATGCACAGCTTATTTTACAAAAACGTGTGTGTGTGTGTGTGCGCTCTGAACTGGAATGTAGAAGGAATGTTTGACGGATGTTCAACGACTACAAGGATGCGGTGATGAAATAAAACCTGTCAGACTCGAAGCGGCTCTGACGTGACGGCAGTCGGCTTGAACAAAGAGTCGCAGTACGCACACAGCTCGACAACTTTATGTCCACAAATCGACACGTTCACCACAGCGCAAGTAGAAATACAAACACAACAGATGCAAAATTAATGGCTGTGAAATTATTTTCTTCGTATCCAGATGCAGCGAGGGACCTCGGGGCTCCAGAGCCGAGCTGGATTCAGACAGTCTGTATGAGCCGCTCGGCCCATAAAACAGAAGCAAAAAGAACAAAGCACACAGATCCAGATACACATCGATATGAACGTTTAAAGATTTTAAACCTTATTTGTGTTTCAAAGAAATGAATAACCTCGGACCGACAACACAAATGTACAGTGTGTGTGTGTGTGTGTGTGTCACAGAGTGAAAACAGTGCTGTAAACTCATCCAGAGTGACGGACATGTGACCGACTGCTCCAACAGAAGTAAACATCTACACAGGCTGCAGTTCCTCTAACGTCCAGCAGAGGCTCCAGCAGTGAGTCCGCAGAGACACGTTCTCCTCCTGATAGGCCGAGGACACAGGCGGCTTTAGCTGCTAGCTGTCTGGTAGGCTTCACCTGAACTGACCTCTGGACAGTGTTTGTGCTGTTTTAATGATTATCTGACCATCAAATGTCAGCTGTGAGGTTACTGTCCAACAAGTCAGTTTTACTGAGTGAAATTCCAGGTTTTTAATGTGATTTTAGTGATCAGCTGGTATTTGTTGCCTGTGGATGCAGACTGCTAACCAGGCTGGCTAGCATTAGCTAATAACTTTCTCCTGTAAGTACGGTCACTTCTGGCTCTAAAAACATTTGGCAGTGTTACAAAATCCATCTTTTCTATACAGGCTGTGACACGTAGCTAAACATGGTCTTTTTAACAGAACAGACGAGGCCGCTTTAAGTTAATGTAATGGATGATGTAACGAATTATCTTTCACAGCTGGGCCCACGTCCTCATGTAAGTTTGGTAGCGTTTTAGCAGGTAAAAGTGATGCTTTGACATGAATTGAGCTGCGGTTTGGGGAAGGCCTCGAAGGGGACTGGCGACGGCTCCCGGGCGGATCCCCATGGACTAAATAGAAGTGAAGAAGCTAAAGAGTGAAGAACAAGGAGGGAGGGGCATGTAAACGAGAATGATCGGCTTGCAGAACTGGGGGAACCGATATAGGTGACAGCCGGAGAAGCGTGTTTGGAGGCGTGGTCCCGCTCCTGAAATTCCGATACATCAGTCATCTGTCAGTGCGCCCCAGGGCGGCTGTGGCTACAATGTAGCTGCCATCACCAGTGTGTGAATGTGTGAATGACTGAATGTAGTGTGGAGCGCTTTGGGGTCCTTAGGGACTGAGTAAAGCGCTATACAAATGCAGGCCATTTACCATAATCTCCAATACAAAAAGTAAAGATGATGTAATAGATTACACACCTGTTACGTCACAGTGTCATCTCCCTGTGCCACAGCCTTTCTTTCCAGGCCGACTCTGAACCTGAGCTGCTAAATCTGAACTTATTTCACTCTCTGAAAATCAGCTGATTGAAACACATGCTGCATAAAATTGACCAAAAACACAAAATCAAAGCACATAAAGCAGCAACGCAACTGTGACATCATCAAAACAAGTAGATTTCCACACCGACTGTGTCCTAACTCTATACCAAGCAGTAATCAGCACATCTGACTGTGGACTAAGACGATGGACACGAGCACAGAAATGAGAGACATGACGCAAACGTGCACAGTCAGGATGCGATGCAGAGTCTGCACACAGCTGCAGACGGCCGGCTGTTTTCATCACAACTATGCAAATATTTCTGGGAGGGAAACACTGATGTAAATAACGCAGCGACGGCGTCGTGTTAAGCTGACTGAACATCCTTCCAGGAAACAGTTTGGACAAACGTGGCCTGAGCGTGAAGCTGGTTCAACAGGAGTGCTGCACACAGCACAGAGGAGAGCAGCGTGCGACTGTGCCGCCATCACATTCTGTTCGCTTTAAACAAACAAAGATTTCTCAAAAACAAATAAAAGGGCTAAACTGGCATCACAGCTGGAACAGGCTGACCACGACTACCCGAGTCCTGTTGAACAGAAGACACCTGAACAACGTTTGGTTAATCTCGCCTCCTCACCTTGTTGCAGAGTCCTCAAACCTGGAGCCTTCTCCCTGCGCTGCTGCAGCGATTACGTCACTGTGACACAGTGTCAGTGAACTTTGTGCAGAAAATGAGGTTTCATTATTAGGAAACTGGCTAAACGTGCCAAATGACTGCAGCAGGATATAAAAGGAGATGACTGAATGCTGCAGCTCCCCCCTCACTGCTCATGTCAGCAGCTGAAAGTAATTAAAGTTACCACACTGCTTCCTAGAAAACACAATTCCAAAGAAAGTCCGTGAACGGTCAAAGTGACGTAAGCCAGCAGTAATTCATCTCAAAAACAAGCAAAGCAGAGAATCGCTGCGTTTCAGACCTGAACTAAAGTCACAAAGCTGAAGCGACTGACTGCACCTCACACTTTCTCCAAATGAATTTCAAATGTCAAAACTCTGTCGCACAAAAAATGAAAATGAAGACTGGAAATGTGATGAACCTGGGTCTAGCTGCTCGCATGTTCTTAAAGGGAGTGAGTGTGAGCTTCCAGTGTGACTGTGCGCCGCCGCCGCCGCGGCGTGGGACGGCCACTCCCGACATACGCAGTGAGGTTTGAGTGTGCGGGTCGTGTAAGCATGTATGACACATCTGTAATGAAACATCAGGGCGTTGTCAGCGTGTCAGGGAGGAAATCAGTGCAGAAAGGACAACTCTCACAATGGGTGCATCGAACCTGACTCACACGATGCTGAGTGACAGAAAGCTGCAAAGACGCACAGCTTTTGTTTGGCTGTTCTTTCTTTTGCAAGCGTCACTTTAAACGGAGAGGAAACCTGAACTGGGCGGCTCAAGTGTTTTGATCTTTAGCTGAAAGATGAAACCAGCGCTGCAGTTCCTCTGACGTCCACTAGAGGCAGTGAGCCAGTCCCGATAGACTCCCGCCTCTGCAGCAGGTGGATGGCGACACAGGCGGCTGCTAGCTTCACCTGAACTGGACCTCTGGACCGTGTTTGTGCTTTCGGAGCCTTTTGGAGCCATGACATCATGTGACCAATAACATGGCTGCTGTGAGGTCACTGCACTTGGAGTCGTATCTGGTGAGCGAAATTCAAGGTTTTTACTTGGATGACACTTTGTTTTGCCACACCCTTACATGCAGTCTGCTAACCAGGCTAGCTCATGTAATCGCTTCCCCTTTGGCAGCCAGAACGGTAACATTAAGGCTTTGACATCAGAGTCCTTCTCAGGTTTGTGGCTTTCACTTCTTTCCAGGCGGTTTCAGATCAGGTCAGCCTGAGCTGATCTGAAACAGATCTGTCACGAGAACAGCCACAATACTAAAACTCACAGAAAACTCAGGACTATGGTACAGTGTCTTTGTCTGTCTTTTATGTGCAGTCTTTGTCTGAACCAGTATTGTTTCAGAGGATTAAACAGACGAGCTCACACTTTTCAGACTTCAGACTGCAGTGGAGCGACAGAGGCTTTAACTGTAGCAGAGACAGACAGATCTAAGCTGCACTTCTCCACCCGGAGCCCGAGCTCAGCTGCACGCCGCCTGCCGCATTTCAGTCTGGGAATCCGGCTTTTTCAGACTTTTACATTAGTATGCTGATGAGATACGTCCACAGCACACAGGATATCTACACACTTGTCTTTTTACTGGTTATTTTTCTAAATACTTTTAAGCTTCCAGAAGTTTTACGTTCAGCTGATAGCAGACCTGTGATCGCTGAGACTGCATCAGCATCTGGGCCTCTCAGGGAAATCGAATCCTCACACCTGTTATACACAACACAGCAGACCTGGAAGTGAAGCTGCAGGCTGTGCTTCAAACTCAAGACCACTGTGCTGACTGATACACCGCCTGTGTCTCCACCCACCTGTTTATCACGAGGCCACGCCCCTCATAATGCAAAGCCTTACAGTTTAAATGGATAGAGTTGTTACAAAGGGTGAAATCAGCTACAGAGACCAGATGGTCTACGAGTCTACAGGCGCTGACTCACTTTTGGCGCCGCCCTCTAGAGGCCATTAGAGGAACTGCAGTTTCTCGCACTTACGTGTGGTTGAGACGTTCAGCCCAGCTGGCCGTGAGTCACAGTATCCTTCACGCTATTGATCGAGCTGGTTTCAGTTAACTGAAATCCCCCACTTTGTCTTTGGCAGGTCAGATTTTCCACCACTAAAATATTATCAGACTGGAAAAGAATGAATTCCACGTGGAGGACGTAATCCCGACACGTGGCGCCCTCTCTGCTGCTCCGTCACGTCTGCCACGCACTCTTCAACAACATTTTTAATTTCAACATCACAGACTTGGTATCAAAGACTATCAGAAGATTATTTTTAACTAGATGAACCTTTAAAAAAGTTTTCTGTGGTTTTCAGGCAGAGATCCAGTTTATCCATCCTTCATGACAAAGACCATCCTGATTGGCTCTCTGGGGTTCATGGAAAAGGAAATGCAGATGTTCGTGCGCCTGCGTCTGAATAATCTCTCGTCCTTTGTCTCTACTGCTTATGCACGTCCTCGTGCCGCAGTATCTTGTACAGGACCCAGTAGAATATGTTGAAGAAGAGGAAGGCCAGCGGGAAGCCGGCCCTCGACACAGTGTCAATCTTTTTGGCTCGGTCGATGAACAGCTTCCTCATCTCCTCCATGCTTTTACCCCCACTGGCTGCTGCAGGTGCATTCTGGGTAGCGTTCTGCGCCGTGGCTCCCGGCGTGTTCAGTGCACTCACGGCGTTGTTGGCGCTGGCCTTCGACTCCTTGCTGTTACTCGGGGTGGAAGTCACGGCGGCAGCAGGGGCCAGCCTGCTCTCATGTGCCCCCCCTTCCTGTTGGAGAGACGAGGAGGAAGAGGAGGAGCAAGGGGAGGAAGGGGTAGGGGGTCACGGATTATTTGTGAATCTGTTCACCGGTTTGGCCTCTGAGCGAGGCACCACACCTGACCGAAGCACAAAAACGAAGAAGCAAATGAATTCAGATTTCCTCGGGTTGGTGCTCGGAGCTACTTTCTCTACGTTCCTGTTTAAAAGCTTCTGAAGCTGACCTACAGACAAGCACCAGCTGTGAGGCGTTAAAGAGAAACCAGCAGTGCAACGAGTCATTAAGAGTTTAGCTCAGAGTTTAAACTCTGCCCCCTGGTGGTGAAAGCTTTAGTTAAACTCTGCTGAGGAAATTACAAAAGGTATCTTTACACCTGCCGCGTGCTTTTGAATCAAATTTTAGGCAGAAATGTGACGACACTGAGCCGAGAAATGTTTGTATATGAGATCATAATAAGGATGAAGATGTTTTTGGGAGCCATTGATTCACAAAAATAAGCTAAAGATTAGTTCAGGTGTTACAGCTGCGGTTTCAGTTAAATGTGCAGAGAGATGCCAGCCATCAGTAAACAGCTGTATGTATCCAAACCTTCCTGCCCTGCGTGAAAAATCACGAGGTCTGATTACTGCCAGGCCTGCTGCCATCACTAAAATAGACGAAGACCAACTGAAGCAGACTGAAAGATCTCAAACGGCAGCACGCCACGATCTCAAGAAGCAGCTGAGGAGCAAAGTCAGTGACATCATCAGCCTGAGAGGGTGACGGAGACATTTCTAAGGCTGTGGGACCCACGCTGAGAGCCTGGGAACCATCGCCGACTCATCCAGGAGGTCACAGAAGAGCCCAGAACAACATCTATTAAGCTCAGCTAGGGTCAGAGGTCACGACTCAACGGTAAGAAAGAGGCGGGGCAAAGATGGGAGAGTCCAAGCAGAAACCACTGCTGACCAAGAAGATCACAAAGTCTCGTCGCACATCTGCCAACAAACATCTGGGGGATAATATTCTGAGGGCTGACGAGACAGAAGCTGAACTTTCTGAAGCTTTGAGTCACGTGTACATCAGACTAACCACGCAGGAACCAGCAGCTCCGCCTCTGATTGGCTCAAAGGGACAAAATAAAGGTTCTGGAGCGTCCGAGTCAAAGTCTGGACTTAAACCAGACTCAGATGCTTTGATGCTGGAAACCCTCCAGTGAGACAAACAGCAGGTATCAGGTTACACTCAGCACAGGCAGGTGTGGATACCTTTGTTCCCTTAATGAGTGACATCATCATTTAAAAACCATGCCTGTGTATAAACAGTGATGTCAGAGTCTGTGCTGGCGTCCTGTGATTTTTGTTCTTTGGCTCACAGACTTCCTGTCAGCTTACAGCATCCTCAGACTGTCCACACAGTCAGGCCACTCTGCAGGCGGCCGGTGGGAGACAATGTCCCAGCCTCCAGCTGTTCATCATCACTGAGCGGCCGCGTGTTTGTCTGGACAAACCGACACATACTCTGTAAGCTGAAGACATTTCTGAGCACAGTTAAGCTCAGCTGCACTACCTTAAGCCCAGATATGACTTCTAAACTGAAAGAAAGGAGGCTGAAGTTTTACATGCTCACTCAAACTGTCCTGATCCAGATGTGCACTCATCTGGAAATATGTCATTAAAAACCACAGAAACAGTCACGACTCGCACACATCAGAGAAATACGTTTATGTTCGTGTCACCATTTTACTCCTTCAACACATCCTGTCTTATTTATGAAGCTGCTGTGTGAAAAGTGTCAGACTGATGGAGGAGGAGCTCCTGCAAGAGAAACATGCGCACAGACACACACACATGCAGCGTGGCATTACCCCGTGGTTGCTGGTGTAGATGTTGGTCATAGATCCGTACAGAGGCTCTGCCGCTTTGAGGCCGTCGTCAGTGTTAATACGACGAAGGGACTCGGCTAGCTCCTCTGGATCAACGGCACCTCCACTGATCTACCGACCGACAGCATGCACACGTCAACAGAAAGCAAAAGGAAGAACAAAAGAAAAAGAGCAGGCTGGGCCGCTCAGCCGTTCAGTCAACGCAGGGAAACGTTCAGCTGCTTGCACAGACGCACAGATAGGAACGCTGATGGATTTGCATCAGACGCTGTCTATGAGCTAAATCGACCGTAAAATGATTTTTTATGTGTTTTCTTTTCCAAAATTGTTTCCATGTGTGTTTGTTGTTTTATTTCATTGTGTTAAACAGTAAACTTAGTGTGTCTGCAGGTCTCTGTTCACATTCAGTCTTCAGACCCACAGGCTCAGCGTCTGTGCTTTCATCAGGACGTGTCAGTGACACGTTTGTGTTGGCGAGTTGACTGAATGCTGATCTTCCAGCCCGCCGAGGTCGTGATCACGCACCGAGCTCAGGCTCATCCGGGTTGGATGGCTGCAGAAACACAGAATCATCACACTGATGCGGTTACATGCTGCGTCATGCACCGATACAGCGAGATGACTCAAACATGCGAAGCGAGAAGCACCGATTCCTCCACCACTTCCTCCTCCCTCTCCGGCCCAGCTCCAATCCGACCTGGCGCTCCACGCTGAGCTGGAAGCTCAAACGTCAGATGGAAGTGATAAATCCATTTCTGACATGCTCCCACATATCTCTGTCTTTCTATAAATTCTAATAAGAATAAAAATAACGAGTTAGCACATTTCAAAAGTGTTTCCATAGAAACAAACGAGATGTGTGTGCAGGTTTATACGTGACACACGTCTAAAGCTAATCCAGACTTTTATCCTGAAATCTTTCAGGGATTTTTCCACCCTGGGATGGGCCAAAAGTGTACTTATGACTTCTGCACAGATATATGAAAAATTAAAATAACAGAAGTTGGAAGAGATTTTTTCCTGGATGCAGCGAGTCAAAGTTTTCCTTAGTTTTCCTGAACTCTAAACATCGGACGAGGCTGAAAATTCCCACGATGAATGATTTGTGCTGCTGTCAGCCTCAGCCTGGACGGCGTGGACCTGCGCTCCTCACAGTGAGCCGGATTGGATCTGGGCCTTTCTCACCTCGTGCCGTCTCTGAGCAGAACGCTGCAACAACAACGTGTCACCACACGGTGGCAGCCTCAGCCCAGAGCACACGAGTCACAGCGGTCCATCAGTCTGTGGATGCAGGTCACAAACTGTGTGTAGGTGTTCCTCACTCTGGATGGTGCTGCGTTCGCTGTGCTGTGCAGTGTGTGGGACTTTTCTGTACCTTGCTCTTATTCTTGTTGTGCCGTCTGAAGCGCAGCAGCTCTTTGTGTTGCCTCGACACAAAGTTAACGGCGGCGTACTCCAGCAGCGCAGAGAAGACGAACAGAAGACACACGGCCATCCAGATATCGATGGCCTTCACATAAGAGACCTGTAAACACACACACGCTTCATTCAGCAGGCTGGAGGCGCTCACCGTCAGTGGTTTAAGTTCACAGTGAGTCTCAAACGTAACTCCGACTGCACAGATGTTTCATTTTCTGCAATAATTCTAGACTTTATTTCAGGGCTGCAGCTGTGTGTGTGTGTGTGTGTGTGTGTGTGTGTGTGTGTGTGTGTGTGTGTGTGTGTGTGTGTGTGTGTGTGTGTGTGTGTGTATGTGTGGGTGGGTGTGTGTGTGCATCCTTCTCACCTCCTGCGTCTCATTTGTTGAGAGATGGCTATGGGCTCAAAATGTGGTCATAAATATTTTGTACTTGTAAATCGGTTTTGTACTTGTAAAGTACAAAACCGATTTCCTTCATCACCACGAAGGAAAACAGTCTGTGGTCGTCCGAGTTTGGTGATTTTTGTGTCACAGGTCTACGTGTTTAATACAGGGACTTCCACAGCCTTTTCAACAGCGCTGCG